AAACTGGAGCTAAATTATTGTACTTGGAGTCAGGACAAAAACTTAACACAATTATGAAAGTTGAAATGTTAAAAATTTACGCTATTTTGTTTAGTAGATAAAGGTGGTACACTTTAAATGTGAGTTTTCATTGCTACACCGTTTTACAGTGCCTTGGAGTGTACTCAGTATGTCAATTATACGAAACTTTGTTTGAGCTGATTTATATATCTAAATTGGTCTTATTATTTTATTGAAGGTTACCTCATCATATATTCATAATGTTCTAATCTACAGTATATGTAACAAGCTATATTTTCTAAAATACATGACGATTGTTAAACATAAATGTTACATGAATAAAAATATTACACTTCAAATTTTAGATTTTACTAGTATTTTTTAGCAAAAAATACTTTTTTTTTTGACAAAAATTGGCCCTGTTTTTTTTAAACGACAAACGAAAGCTCTCAAGTGCGTTGATGCCTTTTAGAAATTGGTGTGCTCTTATCTTGATGGACCCTAAGTCGAATTGGTTTGGAAATACTTCAGTGTACTTACTTAATTATCTTTTTTTTTTAAAGACAATTCACACCAATTGACCTAGTCCTATGCTAAGCTGGTGAAGCTTGTGTTATGGGTACTAGGCAACGGATATACATACATATTATAGATAGATAGACATATAAATACATATTTAAAGACCCAAGACCTAAGCTCAACACCAAATGCTCATCATATCGATGTTCGTCTCAGCCGGGGATCGAACCCGGGACCCATGGATTCGCAGCCAGGGGTACTAACCACTAGACCAATGAAACATCACAAATTACTCGTATATGGTTCGAACATCTAAGCTGCTTAAGATCCCCATTTGTATAACCTAGATTATTTAATGCTCACAAAATCTCTAGTATTGTCTATTTTAGTACATAAAAGACTTGTCACAGTCCCAGACAGCGTAATGAAATTCATTTGTGCTTGAAACATTATGTATTCTAATCCCGCAGTCTCTGTTGGCTTTGTTTTTTTAATTATTCGTGGAGAATGTTCAATTTTTGTTGCTGTTTGAATGATACAGTAGTAGGTAAAATCTTTTAAGAAGTGTTTAGTCGCTTTTTAATTAAGATAAATAAATTAATTTTATTAAAATAAATATAAATAGAAACGCTTTTTTTATTTCTTGCAAAAGAACTTAACTTAATCCTATTATGTATATTTAAGAAAGTAAATGACACTATTTGTGTATCTATTTTCCCATCCAAAGATCTCCAGGTATCTCGGTCTTGAGTGAGTTGCTCCCTCGAGCCAGCCGTTTTAGTAATGTCTTCCTCCCATCTCGTGAGCGGTCTTCCTCTGTTTCGTTTCCCAATAGGGCCTCCCCACCGGGTCGCTCATGGCGCTCGTCACATGGCGGTTGCTGCATGCCCTACCCAGCTCCATTTAAGACATAGACATAGACATAACATTTATTACATACGAAAACACACACACATAAACACATAAAATAACAATACTTAAAGAAAAAAATAAAATAAGGCATCAAAAACAATAAAAATTAAAATAAAAAAAATCCCTTTTGCCATTCGCTTCGCTTCCAGTGTGCAATGCGTGTGTGCTGTGGTTGTAATTGGCCCTGGCTCAGCATTATGCTGAGGAGCAGAATGTTCCACAGCGCTGGTCATTCTGCCAGAGACCACAGCAGCTAGTTTGCGCCTCTAATAAAATAAAATAAAATAAATAATAATAATACCAAGTAGAAAATAATAATAATAATATTAAAGTTAGAAGTGTGAGTAATGAAGATCGCGTGTAACGGTGTATAAATAAAATAAAATTAAAAGTTAAAAATAAGAATAATTGTAAATAAGAAGATATTTTTGGTTTTTGTTTTTTGGGTGGATAAAAACTAAATTTCGTGGGACTTTTGTTGAGTAAGTAGATGTGTCTTATAACTGCGACTAAAATTCGACTTTAATTAGATTTAAGCTTTAGAGATTAGTTTAATAAGTATAAATATTAGGTTAAAAATAAGGGTTCTTATTTTATATAATAGGCTATGTCGTTTTTAATAATAATAATTTCAGCCGTACGTGAACAGTAGCCATTTACCTACTTAGTGAAAAAATATTATCTATAGATACAATCGAAATTTTTCTTAAATCTGCAACAACCTCTTTAGGTCTTGGCCTCAGATTTCTGAATATGTTTCATGATCATTTTTAAATCTAATAGGCAAGTAGGTGATCAGCCTCCAGTACCTGACACACGCCGTAGACTTTTTGGGTCTAAGACATGTCGGTTTCCTCACGATGTTTTCCTACACCGTTCGAGCAAATGTTAAATGCGCACATAGAAGGAAAGTCCATTGGTGCACAGCCGGGGATCGAACCTACGACCTCAGGTATGAGAGTCGCACGCTGAAGCCACTAGGCCAAATCTGCAACTAATCGAGTAATTAATTATGCACCTGAGTTGCATCGTTTGAATATCATCAGTTTATCCACTATTAGAGATGACCATAGACATTTATTATCTATATACATTGACAGGCAAACTCTATTGTTTATACATTTTTAAATATAGAACTGCGTTTTTTGAATACGTAATTGCTATTTGTGTTTCGGTGAAAATTGTAATCGTGACAACCGACTGAATTTTTTTCAATACCAAGCGCGTCGTAACAAACACTTGATGTTTGAATTCACGAGTGGTTTTTAGTCTGTTGGATATGTGAAATTATTTTCGCTTTTTGTTTAATGTTTTGGAAAAATATTCCGAATCCTTTCAAGTAACCCCCCGTAACTTTGTATATTTAGGGTTAAATATTGTAATTAAAAATGAAACAGGTATTTACAAAATCAGAATTTATTAAATCAACCACGACATATTCTGTGGAATTCATTATAGGAAACCAGTCTGAGATCCGGTAGATAAAAAAAGTGACGAAAAACCGTAATAGGAACTTTTTATTATGAATAAAAATAACTTTGGTATTATGAATAATAAATTGTGCGTGTACTAGGTGTACACACGTAAGAAGGGAAACTTCTTTATGATCTTATTTTTCGAAAAATGATCTACTATATGCAACTTTACAGAAATTCGTTAAATTAGATAAAGTTTAACAAAAGGCTTTTATTATCATAGACATGAATACAAATATTTCATTTTACCTTATTACTACGAAGATTATTATAGAATTTCATTAATTGTAAATTATTACTATCATTGAAAAACGTGACAATTTGCTACAAAATGTCTCCCATACGTCGATAAAGAAGTTTCATTCCAACGCCGATAAAGAAGTTTGACTTCAAAAAGCAACATGGCGCGTAACCGAAAAATGTGACGCGTAACGAAAAAATGTTACACTACATTTTTTTCCAACCTCGATAAAGAAGTTTCACTTCAAAAAGTACTTTGGTATTATATATATGTTTCAACTCAGTACTACGTACTCAGTTAGGATTATAGAACTAGTAATTGATTTCTAAAAACTGAAGGAGCAAGTTATCAAGGTATCTAGTATTATTTTTGTACATGTTCAAGCAAATATTCTCCGTCCGTGTCTGATCTCGTTCGTTACATTTAATTGTCTTGATAATAAAAAGGATTGTGTGGTTTTATGAAACCACGGTAAAAGTGAAACTTTTTATCACCTTATAGACATTTAACTAAAAATTTTTGGAATAATATGCCATTAAGGGTATAAAAATCGCTTTATCAATCTTTATTTTATACTTGGAAAATTGGAATGATAATGGGAAATAATAAAAGTAGACTAAGTCTCCAACTAATATTTTTATTGAACTCTGTGTCTTAGAGAGTACGACATACATAATACTTAACAATTATTTAGATTATTTACACATATTAAATAATAGTCTATACACTACACGGTCAGCTGCTGCGAACTAGTATAGGCGCCGCCATTTTGGCCCTGGCTGCTATGACGAGCGCCTTTCACTTTATCCCTACTCCGCGGCCGACCGTCATGCGACATGCAACACACAGACGAAAAGTTTATAGTTATTATAATAATAGTTTCACTTTAACAAGATAAATAAATAGAAATAAAAACATATTTTTATTTGAATTTTTAAGTAAGTTCTATCAAAAACACGTATTAGGGTAATCTTCCCATGGGTTTTTTTTCATAAGCTGGTGGATTTAATAAAAATACGAAATATCTTAAATTTCTTTTCTTTCCCTATTCTAGAATATTATCTTCAAAGATTCATGATATCTATAAAGCAATACTCAACTTTTAGATTTCATATCTTTAATTAAAGATTGCCTTTTATCTTAGATTAGCTCTCGTAAGCACATAATATACCTAGATATAATAATCAAAGCGTTCTTATTCGAGCACTCGAGAAATTGAATTCCGCCGTCCGACAGCATCGCTGATTGCTTTGCCCTGATTCAGCTTTCTGGACCAGACTTCTGATATCATGGACTCCATTTAACTTCCCAGTCTTTTGAACATCTATAAACATATTCCCCGTTTTAGATAATTTCCTTTAGCAATTTTGTTAATAAAATGAAGAAAAAATATTAAAAATTCCAATGTTATGGTTAAAATTGTTTGGCGGTGTACAGAGAGAAATAAAAAGAATTACGTATTAAAGATTTTCAAATTTCGAACTACATCAATTCCCACAGGATTGTCTAGGTTTTTTTAAATTTCGAACGATTTCGGGGCGCCCATAGTTGATGACGAATTGAATTGAACGTTATAATCTGTGTAATTGTGTATAATATTTTATTTCTGGACGTGTAACGGTACGGTAAAGGCGCCAAATCTTTACATTTCTACAGACATTCTTGTCATTCAAATAATTTTGTAACAATTACTTATTTTTTAATGATCATACGACTCTTCCTACCAAGGCGTTTGTGTTTACAAAGTGCTCTTTTAGTGAATCGTTAATTGTTATTATCTCTTGTCACTACAATGACCGAGGTCAGTCGTAACTGGCGTAGTGTAGTAAGCACAAGTCTAACTGGTTCTAAACATGGAGTGGTTCACAACAGATAACGGTGAGCATATTTAATTTGTTTATCTAATCATTTTGGAATAAATAATCTTTTGTTAATGCTTATTTCTTTTGTATAATAGGATGATTCAAGTACAATAAGTCTTTAGAACCTATGTATTGTTTATTTGTCCTTGTCACTCTCAAGTCACTTTGAAATAAAATAAACGAGACAAGACATCTTACCTATGAATTGTGTAGTAGCTATTCATTTCTACATATAACTTATACATAACTGTCATAATTTACCGCCACCATATTTTTGGCGGTCTTTTAATACACGGACGATATATGAATAAACGAATCGCTGACCAGCTTGTGACACGTAAATAAAATAAAATAAAAATAAATATGGCTGCGATAGACCTCGTAATCTCTCACTAATATCATCCAAATTGTTTGCAGGCGAATACAGAATTGAGTCGCTCTCAACGAGTTCGTTCCACGGTGCATTAAATGTAAGTCTTTTAGTTGGGGGTATTAGTTTACCGCTACAAGACGTCTGAGTAAAATAGTTATAATTAATTATATTTTCTTGGAAATGGGTATAATTAATAATAATTATAAAATCCTTTTAATTCACTTAAACAAATTATTATGTCTATCATTTCATTCTCTTTAAATATCCGTGTGCCATTTTGTGGCAAATGCCTCCTCCAAATGCCGCCATTCCTGTCTGCTCTCGGCCATGTACCCGCTGTTTCCTTAATCTGGTATACCTTCTAAATTGTCTTCCTCTTTTTCGGTTATTGTACCTTGGGCACCAGTTTAATACTATCTTCCTCCACTTTTCTGTTCCTCTTACCATGTGCCATGCCGCCCATTTCTAATTAATTAGTAAAAAAAAGATAGTACTAAAAAAAAAACTATTTGATTCAGATTATATAATTTATAAGGCTTATATGCAAGTGTAGGTGATAAGCTGTTAAGCTGATAAGTGTTCCAGATATTTTTTCTACGGAAATCGAACCTAAACTTGATTGCAGATGCGTACTGTGAGTTATACTTCTATCTCTGTCTTTCACAAAAGATCGCTTACTTAACATAAATCTAAACAATTTTTGTACTTATAAATTGATGGCCAGCATTTTATTAAATCGTATAAATATTATAGTAAATTTAAATTACTGCCTTGTTCAGTTTATGATCGGTTGATTTCTTTATTGATTGATTGCTTACTGACAGTTTCAAAAACCTGTTCCAGGTCATCCGAGAATCATTCTGTCAAGACGAGTACGTAAGTATTGGATGTGGGATCAATAAAAATCCTCAAGCGACGGAAGAACTGCTGGAGTTATGCGCGGACGCAGCATTGGATGGCGTGTCCCTGGTCGCTGTTACCACAGACACAAATGAAGTTGTTGCTGTTGCCTTCAACAAAATACAGGTAAACTTTCCATAGTTCAGAGTAAACGTCACAATTAACATTGGCCTGATTAACAAACGAGTAGCGTCATCCGAAACTCACACGTATTTGTATGAAAATGGTCACGTGACCCAGCGTGTATGTCATTGTAATACAAATTCCTTTGGTCGTTGGGAAATGGAGTGGCATCACATGGCGGTTTCGTACATAATTCGTTTCGTTTATATATACTATATTAGTCTCTTCCTTATTAGGGAGTTATAAGTAAAAAAAGTTCAAAGTAAGACTTATAAATTATGAGTGTGCATTGAAAAATAGTCCTTAACACAAACGCAATGAACACCATTAAAATCATGAGATTTCTAAGTAATATTGAAAATCCCTAATAGTTATACTCTCAACTGCTTGGAGTTAGACTAGAGACCTCTTCCTCACTTCTGTATACATACATACAAGAATGCAATATTATTTTCAACAAATAAGTTAGAGTAATACTAAAAGTATTTTTCTTTCTTTAGTGTTGAGTTTTTGTACGACGACATCAGTCAGCGCTTCTATTAAGAGAATGTATATCTATATCAAAGAATATGTATATTAAAAGTGCTTACAAACACTTGCCTTTTATTGTTGCTATCGCTTTTCGAAATTCCAGAGCGCCGATGCTGGCCCAGTATCGTTATACCATTAGTACACTACACTTTGGTAGTTATAGAACCAATTTCCAGCGATTAAGGTCGTATATTAAACTACATATTGAATAATGCTTAGAATTATTAAAATGATCCTAGCACCGTACAAAAATTAAACGTTTTTAAAATGTCTCTGTAATAACTGTTTATGTTTGAAAATTTTGGATTTGGAAGTCTGCAATTATTACTCAATGAATTATTAAGTGACGATGCAATCACATAAAACTACGCTACGCAGGTCTTAGCTTTCGGGTGAAACACCATTGCTAAAGAACAACCGGCAGAAGTGAAAACTTGAATATTAAGCGTTGTGCATTTTTGATATTTTGGAAGGTTAGGTTAGCTTGTAAGCAGGTAATGCTTTAATTATCAGTATAAAAGTTATATCATTTATGTGGTAGAATACAATATTTATTGCGCTATGATACACAAACATGACAATTTATATTACATTAAATACGCCGCGCCAGCGGTCTACTCTCCATCCGTCTTACGAATTTTCGATCAGATCACGTGTCCTCACGCGAGTTTAACATTTTTTCCCATTCCAAAAAAGTGTACAACGCCGCTAAAGAAGTTTTCACTTCAAAAAAGTTATTAATGGCGCAAAAATTGTTCTGTCCTTTACAATGATCTAGTAATATTGGGATTTTGCTCAGTTGTTAACTTCTTTTCGTAAATGCAGCCATTCTTCTCAGGTCCATATATCGAGTGCCTCTGAGAGATCGTTCTTCGAAATATTTGCTGATGAACGCTGCAAAGAGGACGCGTCTCGATCGCTCATACACTTCATGGCGAACGTTGATAGCAGATGCAACTTGTTTGAAAAGTAAGATACAATTCAATACGAATTTGTACACACAATGTACAAAAATAAATAAAATAAAGCCTTATTGATGTACTTAGTTACTTCTTTTCATTAATTAAATATTATTTAGTATTGTTACAATTCAGTGCCTTAAAGCGAGGAATAAAGTTCATTTTTTTAGTAAGACAATGTATATTATATAAATAAAATTTATATACATTTTTTAATTATTTTATATACAATTATTACAACTAATCAGCTTGACTCTCGACAAAGGCCTCTTCTAAGCCAATGTAAAGTGATTAAATGCGACAGAATTGTGTGAACTCTAAGCGATAGTCAATTGTTCGTATACGTCAATACGATGATGAAATTATTTCCCATACAATTGTGCAAGTTTCAAATACGCCCAATGAGCGTTAAAATTTTTATATTCATATTTTTCTGCACTAAATTCGTGAATAGCTGACTGTTCTGCCTTATAAAATTAAATTTAAGAATTATTACACTTATGCGTCATAAACGGACTTAAGAACGCATAAATAAGGTAATCCTTTTGGTGAATTGCATTAATAATCTGCAAATAAGTTTTTTAAATATAATATAAAGATCATTCTTATTGAAATCTCAGCTTATCTCAAAAATCTGTGAAAGCGGACCCATTTGCAGATTTCAGTTTAAACTTTGAGCACAGCTGCGTCTGCGGTCAAGCTATATTGTCCTGGTCGGTTCTGAAAGTTACAAATGCGAACTTCCGTGCCAAGTCGAATGTGAATTCGTACAGTATCTAAACAAAAACCAATGCAATATGAAAGCGACATAGTTTTGAATTTAACCTTCATTCTCTATAAAGGAAAACATCGTGAAATGCCTTAGAAAGTCGACGGCGTGTGTCAGGCAAAAGCTAATCACCTAAATGCCTATTAGAAAAAACAATTGATCCCGAAAAATTTTAAATATTTCTTAAATATTTTAGGCCTGGGCCTCAAATTTCTGTATCTGTTACATTCTCGTCTTGACATAATGATTTTCGGATGACCTGGGACAGGTTTTTGAAACTGTTGGTAAGCGCTTCGGAGTGATTTCAGGCCAATAAAGAAATTAACCGATCGTAAACTGAATAAGGAAGTAATTTAAATTGACTATTGCATTTATATGATTTAATTAAATGCTGGCCATCAATTTATTGGTACAGAAATTGTTTAGATTTACGTTAAGTAAGCGATCTTTTGTGAAAGACAGAGATAGAAGTATAACTCACAGTACGCGTCTGTACGCATCAAAGGCTAATCACCTAAATGCCTATTAGAAAAAACAATTGATTCTGAAACAGATACTGACATTCGAGGCCTAAAATATTTTAGCGCCATTGCTTTTTTCTCTAATAACCAATAGTCATTACTTTTAGCATGAGGAATACTTAAAACAAAATCGTTATAGATAAGTAACTATTGATTTATAAATAAAAACGGTACTCCCGTTTAGTTCAATGCATTTTTCAAGTAATTCATGTAACTATACAAATGTTGAAAATACGTTTGAGTTGTCAAAAACTGTTATTGTACTGACGTATACGCTTAGTTACACCTGAAGTTCCTCTCATCTTGGTCCAGTTTTCCACATTTCTCTATATATTGCTGAATCGTCAATATTAAAAAGACACATTAATTGTGAATGTTGATTTTTGTTTTTTTTAATAGAATTGAAAGTTGCCAGTAATTAAAATATCATAGACTACTACCTATTAATTAGCTGTGACAAATAAACATTTGCAGATACGGAGTCGACTGCAGTCTTGAAATAATGTTTCTAGCCACACTCAGGGAGCACAGACACAAACATCTAGCAACACATCTCTGCAGAATATCGATTGAACTCGCAAAGAAAATCCGCCACGGTCCCCTAGCGCCCCTTTCGGTCGAGGATCTTGGACCAAATTATTCAATGTTACTCCCTCGAAAACCTATCACAACCTATCCAAAGATTTGCCAAGCAATTTGGACATCGGAGGGCTCACAAAAAGTTGGCAAAGCTTTGAAATTCACTGTCCACTTGACAGTACCTCTCTCGGAATTTGTATTCGATGGAAATACTTACTCGGAGCGAATAGGAAATGAATCCGCATTCTGTGAAGTAGCGGCAATCGCTCTGTAATGAGTTTTAAAACTATAAAGGAGTCTTTAAGAAGTACCATCAATTGAAATCTGTTTATTTTGCGGATATGGAACGACTTTTCTCATTGTAGCCATCATTGATGCTTAGGTAAAGAAGATTCATTTGAAAAAGGTGTTTAAGTAGACATTGTAGCCGGATCGAATACAACGTCTATTTAAACCCGATGGTATTACAATTTTTGCGACATATATCAATTAGAATCAAGTTAAAATATATTGTAGAAATTATTTAGTTACTTTAATATATTTATTATATTTTTTATATAGGAGAATGTTATCAACGTTATCTAGTGTTAAATATAGTCCCAATTTTACACAGAATAATTAAATAAAGTAGGAATAGAAAATGAACCGACTTTTATTTTCCTTTTTATTAATATATATATAAATAATTGAAGTATTTATAATAACATTTCAAGCCTTCACAGCTTAAGAAGCTCATATTTGGTTAAGGCGTTCTAAATTAACAAGTTGAATACATTAGATTCTCCATAAAACCTGATATAAACAATCATTTGTGAAAGAGACTCAAAATCTACTTTGCACGGCTTACTTACACGACTTCATTGATATTAATGATAAATATTTCACCCTCTTATAGTGGTTAACGCAAATGGAGTATTACTGGAAGAATTGAATTTTATTTCCGGCGAAGCAGAAACTCTTCTGGTAGGCACAGAAGATTTCAAAGTGTGGATGTATGGCACATTATAATGAATTATTGTCAAATGATTAAACTCATTTTTACATTTGTATTATTTACATTGCTATAGATGAATCTAAATAGAGCCATAGCAATACTTTACGAAATTTACTTTTGCACCGCTCCAATGACAACGGCGTATTTACAGAAATTCTTATTTCATACTTCAATGAACCATAAAATAAGGAATGTATGTAATACTTGTCTTCAAAATTCTTTGATTATTTACTGTCACTGAATAACAAAGGAACGTCTAACTCAAATCTGATTCAACAATTGACATAGCATTTCCGTCTAATTGTTTGTGTTGTAGGATTTATCTGGTGATTCCCGCCCAACGACTAAATAAACTAAATAACATAAATAAAACAGACTGGTGTATCAAACACCAATATTCTAATTTTTGTATCGCTTTAACGTTTTACAAGTATTTTCGACATATTTCTTGAAAACCTATTTTCATATCAAAGCGAAAAGCTATTGAAGTAATGATCAATTAGCCAGTATTTCCTTTCAATAACTGCCAGTTTCTAGAGCCTTAACAAACGAAATGTAAATTATTAATTTTCGAATAGCTAGGGAATATATTAATGTAATTATTATGAAATCTAAAAAATCTTTTTGCTTTTGACTTTTTAGCGTATAGTGATCACTACTTTCCTGAAGAATGCTAAATTTGATTGATGAAAAGTAAATATACACAACTGTAGGTTACCACTAGCGTCTAGACTAGGAATTGTCACAGATATTACTAGAACTTAAGTGGGTGCTCGGATACGGACACTATTGTATTGCTTTTGGATCGAGTCGAGAGTTAGCGCTAAGCCTACGCATATAATATTGACTCGAAGAGTGAGTTTCAGATTCAAAACTCCTATAATTTTTGACATACGGGAGTCATCCTTAGCTTACGTACTTAATTTTGAACTCTAAATCCTACCCTTATAGCGTTTTTCACTTTTGCGTACTCATTCAATGCGTGCGATTTTCAAAAACCGTAAACAAACTTAGCAATCGAACCTTTACTTACATTAAGATTTGCGATATATCGAACCAACCTTTTGAGACATAATGTAGTCAAACATGCTCACCACCAAACCAATTTATGTACCTATTTGAAATAATATAACTTGTAGTTCGGAATAAATTATTTTAAATCCCTGGCTGCAGGTTTCAGATCACATTAGTTAATAATTCAATAACCGAATTTGATCCGACAATATCCGTGTTTACTGAAGTACGAATTAAATCAATCTCAACGAGGTCTGTTCGGAATCACTTTGCATAGCTCTTGAAATTCAAATTGTGCAGTTCATATTGAGCCTTGCTATAAGCACTCGTTGCCATGGCAACCGCATTCCAGCAATTTGTATTCATACTAGAGAGAATTAGAATCCCTGTCCGTCTTCGGAGTCGAATCACTAATGCACATATATTATGTAATTGATAGTAAAGAATCAATTTCTCGTTATAAATCCTAGAGTGTCTTATTTTCAGGTAGTCTGTAGGAAGTTTGGGTTCTTCAAAGACATTTACCGACGTCGACGGTCATATTTTTATATTTACAACGTCTTGAAGGATTATTTAAAAATTACGGCATACCTTAATTTTGGATGAAAAATGTTTCGATTAATGTTCTTATGCAAAATAAGCTTGTGCATACGTTTACTTACACAGTTTTGCAATTATTTAATAATAATTAGTATGATTTACTAATCCATCTTTTGTTTTAGTAAAAATAAAGTCAAACTATACAATTATCATCTTCGAGTAAAATATTTGTTAAACACTTAATAATCTGATCAAGTACATTGTAATATCAGTCAAATAATTCTCGTTCGTAATTTTCGCATTAGCATACTATCAATTTTTTTTTGTAATTCAAACGCTAAAGTTGAGATTAAGCTGATCTCGGTCAATATTTGAAAACAAAAGCAATTAGATTATTTTATCAGGTTGGAGAGCGGTAACAGGGTAACTTTAATTTGAATTCCCAGTTGAACAGTTTGCGCAAAACTTCTATATAGTAATTTGTGACACCAAAGTGAAATTTTGATAACTAAAAGCACTTATTGATTGTGGAGGGAGGTATTAGGAATCTTTCTCAAACGTAAGGGGATGATTCTCAAACCTCGTTTTGGTATATATGCGGCCTGATGTTGCATATATACCAAAACAGAAACACTTTGATATCGCTATTCATGGTATCATTCTACTGGATTGTAGTCGGTAAAGCAATTAAAGCTCTTAGCTAACGACTGAGTCTCTAAGCCCTGGCTGATTTTTTTTTCGTGTACAATTTAATTTCATACTGTGAAGAAAGCATTGAAAGACCTGGCACGGTATAGAATGCAACAAGCTTCATGGGAATGTGGGAAAGTAGGTGATTAAGGGAAATGTTTAGACGCAGAAGTGTAAAGTATTTTACGAATTACTTTTCTTATCTATATATATTTAATATTTTTTTAAGGTAAAATGTTTTTATATGTAACATCAATGACATAAAAGGTAAAGCCGTAAACTTGTTTAATGAGGCAATTTCGAGAGATTGCTTTGCTATTGTCATTAGGCCGCCTATAACATTGATTGTCGGCCGTTTGATTAATTAGTCCGAGACAAGTTGAAACCCCAACATTAATTCCTACTTCTCATATAACATTATATTGTTTGTACATAACGGTTCTACTATCCGATATTTTCTTTAGTATGTATACAACTTATGTATGATTTATGTTTTTAATATAATTGTTACTTAGCATGTTTTTGTATTGTAAAAATTTTCGGGCTTCTCCGGAATAATTTTTAATAACTGTTTTCGTTTAATTAAATGGTGTGTGGATTTTATTAAAGCTTTTTAATTAAATTGTATAAACGTAAATAAATATTTACCTAAAAAACAAACGTTGATTATCAACATTATATTAAAGCAAAAATAAACAAAAAACAGCAGTGAGCAGTGTTTGCCTAGTGGCTTCAGCGTGCGACTCTCATACCTGATGGACTTTCTTTCAATGTGCGCATTTAACATTTGCTCGTGCATCGTGAGGAAACCGACATGTCTTAGACTAGAAGTATGGCATGGCATATAGACTAGAAGTGGCGAGCTGCATAGCAAAACGTAGAAAAATAAGTTATAGTTATTATGATATAGCAACCCCTGTGCGTTACGCGTGAACCGTGATGTATTTAATGTAGTCATTTCGTAAAGCTACAATTCCGTAGTGCTCAAGAAAGCAAAGCTTGAAAAGCGGCTTCCCCAAAGTCGTTAGATATTTGAGCTTTTGTAAGCTGCCTAGCTCGCTTCCTCAGTTCTGTGAACATTTCAAATACGATCCTTAATACCTCACTGTCTCATTCACACAATATATATTGGAAAAGGGCTACTTAAAAAATAACATCATCTAAATAAATAGCACAAATTTAAAACGCTTGTTCCGCAACTTAGTTCTGCAGATGCCTTATAATCCTATATTTCTCAGATTTTGTTCTCAAATCTGAGCTTATATTATATTGGATTTGTAGGCCCATAACAGCAGTTACCGACCTGCCTTGCGATTCTGTAACTCACTTTTCGAATTCACACAGCGGTTTTCACGGCGGCGCGGCGGTCGCGCTCAAATCAGCCGTAAAGCAGTCAATTTACGATTTGGCATTCTGATTTCTGATAAACAATAAACAACAAGCTCCCTCCTTACAGAGTTACAGAATCGCAAGGCTGACTTAAAATTATTAATGAAAGCATCGGGGTGGGACTATAATATTAAACGTTTAAAATAAAAAAGTAGGACGCAAGACTTCAAATACATTATATTATAATATAGTATAGTAATTTGTCTGCTACGGCCCGGCTTCTTCTATATGATCAATCAAATGCAAAGTCATCTCATTTTAGAAATGCGTGAATGTTCAAAAATCCTATATCATCAAATATTTGAACATTGTTTGCAACTAG